GCGAAAAATTTCGTCCATATATTGAGGGAGTAAAGTTTACCATTATCACTGACCATGCATCACTTAAATATCTGTTTAACATGAAAAGCCCAACAGGAAGATTGGCTCGTTGGAGCGTTAGGCTAAGTCAATTTGATTTTGAAATTGCCTATAGGCAAGGGAAACTTAACGTAGTTCCTGATGCACTTTCAAGGAGCCCTATTAATCAGGAGATTGATGAACCAATATCCAGTGATGATATTTGTGCTATAAATTTAGATGAGGTTAGTAAAGCAAATTCTCTTAATATTGATTTAACCAACTTAGACTCCTTTTATGTTAAAATGAGGTCAAAAATATTGGAACACCCTGACAAATACCCTCAATGGGCTGTCAAGGACGGTTATGTATATAAGTTAGTACCATCTAAAGTTACATTGGATACCAATATTTCCGACTGGAAGTTGTTGGTGCCAAAGAAGCAACGTTCATCCATTATATCTTCTTGTCATGATGTCAGTACAGCTGCACACGCTGGATATCTCAAAACCTATTCTAGAGTCATACTTACCTATTATTGGCCTAAAATGCGGCAAAATATTAACCAGTATGTAAAATCTTGTAAAATGTGCGCATCACAAAAGTCACCAAACCACGCCAAATTTGGGTTGATGGGTTCACAGCGTAGTGTTAGGTTTCCATGGCAGGTTATTGCAATGGATTTGATGGGCCCACTTCCCCGGAGTTCCAACGGTTATCAATACATATTAGTCGTCTCTGATTGGTTCACCAAATATCCTTTGATATGTCCATTACGTAATGCTACTTCTAGCAGTATCATAAAATTTTTAGAGAATGAAGTATTCTTAGTATATGGCACACCACAACAGATTGTGTGTGATAATGGTAAACAGCTAGTAAGTAAAGCTATTAAAAAACTTGTTCAGGATTATGGGTCAAATTTTAGATATACTCCATACTATCATCCCCAGGCAAACTATGTCGAACGATCAAATCGTACAATTTGCACGGCTATAAGATGTTATGTTAACGGTAACCATAAATCGTGGGATAAAGAATTACCTAAAATTGCATACTCTATGAGGACCGCCATTCACGAGATAACAGGCTATAGCCCAGCATTTCTTAATTTTGGACGTGAAGTTCCATGCTCAGGGAAGTACTATGGGGATGGTAATGTGGATATTTTTGATGTAGGTGATAGAGAAAGATGGGTTCAAAATTTAGGCAATTTATCTGAAATTTTCAAAGATGTCCAATCTAAACTAACCTCTGCATATCAAAGGAATGCAAGGTATTATAATTTGCGTAGAAGGGACATGGAATTCTTTGTGGGTGATAAAGTATGGAAAAGGAATTATGTTCTTTCTGATGCTGCAAACAATTTTGCTAAAAAGTTAGCGCCGCGTTACGTTCTTTGCACTGTAGCGAAGAAAAAATCGAAACTCGTATATGTACTCAAGAATGAGGACGGTACAAATGCAGGAGTATGGCACATACAGGATTTAAAACCTTATGATGGGTCTGAATTTTCTTCGGTCGATACTGATGATGAGTTAGAAGAAAATAGTCGAAACGACGTTTGATCCAAGGGTTATCTGTTGCCGGGAAGCACCTCCCAGGGGGTTTTGTAAATAGTAGGGTAGGAGTAATGTTAGGATCTCATCATTAGGAATAGTGTTAGGTAAGGCCTAGGTTAGTTTTCATCATTCAAATCGAGCTCGATTCTCATCTCACCATACATAAAATATAACTGTACTAGGATTGTCCCCAATTAAAATAGACATGTACCTACATGCCTATTTTTTTCGTCGGAAGGGGGTGAATGTAACATGTAATTTTCCTTTTTTACCTTTATTATATGGGTTTGTTATTAAGTTAACCAAGAGTAACACCCAGTATATTATGATGATGTAAGATACTCAATAGATTATGTGACTGCAACACTTTACATTTTGTTATGGCAGGTGGATTGAATATCCTGTTGGCGTTGGACCTCTTGTAAGCTGAACTTGAAGATTCCTTTGTCTTCCTGGTGTGACTGTCTATTAGTTTCAGGGTTGTATTTTTCAGGTGTCCATAGCAGTGGTGTTGATCTGTCCTTCTTCCTAGCTGTAATGATAAATGATTTACATTTCCAGTTGCTGTTGACTGATTGAATGGATAAAAGTTGAAATGCACAGTTTGACAAACCTGTTGGAAAATGATATGTCCTTGCTGTTTTCAATTTAATTATGGATCCACAGGAAGTTATATTTGAAGTAGTTGTGATTGTTTATATTCGTATTTCAGTTTCAGTCTGACAGTTTAATTGGTTATGTGGATTGTTAGGTTATTTCGCTTCGTCCATAGCCTTTGTGAATCTATAACCTTCTTCTTTTATTTTCGGCCTGCTGGCAACATTTTTGGTTGGACCAATGTTACTATAGTTCTGTGTCAGACCTAACTTCACAATTCTTTAAAAACGGGCAAAAGCCCATTAGGACATTTTCTTTAAATAATCTAGGTATTTCAATATTCTCTGTTGGTAATATTTATCAACTAGTCAAGATTCCAACTGTACTTGCGCAGTGAATCATTTCTAATTTGAAACATGTTTTTATAAACGGTTTTGTTTTCTGAGTGCACAGGAAACTCTTGAAATTTCTTGATTTCCTTCTTCTCTACCGAGAGTAGGCAAGATGGGCACGAATTTTGCCATTTTCCATCCAACCTTTGTGGGGTTTGATACCCTTATTTTCGGCCATTCCAGACGGAAGGTGAGCATTTTTAGAGTCCATAAACCTATTCAATGATTTCAATTTGGTATATTTCCAACAGATTTATTGGCCTGTCCATGGTGGATGTCCTGGTGGGACGCCATCATCGCTTTCTTCAATTATCTAGCCTGTAGCTAGTAGCCTCCGGTTGAATCTGGAACTTTCCTCTTGATCCCATCCTGAGCCATCCATGATGCCACAAGGTGACTAGAAAGTCTCCACTTCAAGATAGTGTGCTGTTGGGGCCACTTCTCAATTTTGGGGCTATTCTCTTGATCCCACCTTGTCGTGCCGTCCATGATGTCGAAGGGTGACTAGGAAGTCCAGGAAACCTTTTTTTTTTTAACTGCACCAGCTAGAGTTTGGAGTTGGAGTTGGAGTTCACTGGCAGGGAAGGACAGAGCAGCACCACATGCTTCGCAGACACTAAGGTCAGATCAATTTTGATTATACTTTTGTTCCTGATGACCCAGTAGTGCGCAGCACCAAGTTGAACCACTATTCAAGTCTTACTACTCGTAACAACAAGTTTTAATTTTATATTTGAAATACCACTTAACTAAATCATAATGGGAGTCCAGTCATTCTGTGAACCGGAAATATAGGCCTATATAGAAGGGGAATATCTTGAGATATCTACATTTTTTGTTCTGCTTAAGCATTTAACTTATACAACACTGAGGAAGTGATTTAATCATTGTTCTGCACAGTAAGGTGTTACTGAAGGTATAATTGAAATTCTGTGTCACATGAACCTGCTTCAAACATCTAAAGAATTATATTTCTCTGGTACAGTTATTTGGTGTTTCATTAGATTTTCAAATTCTATCCTCAATATTAAATTTTCTTAGTTTTCCTACTACTGAAAACTGAGTGGCGCCTGGCAAAAGGTCCCTAAACATACATAACTTCTTGAATCCACAGCCTGCTCCCAAACAACAGAGCTGCCGTGCCTATAACACAACTACACACTAGTCTTGCAATTTACTACTTATTATACAACATCCATAAAATAGCAAGAAAGTGTTATAATATATATATATATATATATATATATATTTGAAATTGGAACGCCTGGGACTATTTAAGTGTGCCGAAATATACGGGGTGTTCCATAAGAAAAATATAATTGGCTGCCGTATGTTTTTGAAGTAATCCTCTATATTTCTAATGATGCCAATGGATTGTTCGCATCATACTATATGAATAAACTTTCGAAAGTTTTCAATATTTCTCACCATCAAGTACTCAGAAAATAAAAAATAAATCGGCAATTTTTCAATTTCCCCCTGTATCTCTGAAACGAATGAAGATATCAAAATTCCAAATGCGCCATTTTAGGTGTTTTTAAAATCAAAGCCGTAACATGTATATCGGTTTTTCGATAACTCCTTTAGTTATTGAGATAGCCCGTGAAAACGCCCAATTGTGCCTACCCTGTACATAGCAAGAAGTCAAACTTCGTCCGCTTAACAAATGATGTCTAGAAAAATATTGGAGGCATATAGGCGGCTGCAGGCAATCAAAAATCCTGGTAGCTGGCCCAAGCAAGATAGTACCACTTCTACCACTTGCCGTGAATACGGAGAGTGTGAGGCGTATGGAAGGATGATATTCTAAATCTTTGGAGTGGATAAACTATAGCAGATAATTGGATCGAATTAGTGTGGACGGACATCCTGACCTACATCAGAAGGTCAGAGAGGTTCAGAAAGGACAGCTAGAAGAAGAATGTGTAGATATGTGATCGGGAGTTGACAAAAATGGCCCATACGGGCCTACTGGCCTGGCAGTACCCTCCCCACAATACTACTACAACTACTACATCAAACTCACATTTGTATTCTTTATAATCTTCTAAAGAAAGTAGCCGGCGTTAGTTCAAGTTTAGACACTCGAACAATTTCAGAGAATATAAGTACGGGTTAGTTAATTCAAAGTATTGTAATTTTAGAACAAAACTTCGACATCGCTGTTCAGTTTGATCCAATGGAAAATCCTTTTATTGGGCATTTCTTGGTTAATACCGAAGTACCCTGTCCGAAATTCTTCATAATCAAGACAAATTAAATTTATTTCGTTCCACTATGTGAAAAATATGTAGGTACAATTTATATGTATTAAATGTAGTAAAAATACCTCTGCTGTTCGGAAAGCCTTGTCAGAAATATTCGCGTACTACTCATACAATTTAATATTTGTCCCAGTATCATCTAAGAAAATGAAAAAACATGGTCTTACTCGAATCTCAGGTTCCTTTTAGCAGCAGGTGTAGATGGGGTTAACTTCATTTTTTTTGATGGTTGACAAAATTCAGATGAAGTATCTGAATGGCTGATCATCATTTGCTTCTTCGGTGTAGTTTCATTTATTTTTTGTACTATTGCTATTTTGTCAGTGCATTTTGTGTCTTGTTTTTCTGGCTCATCGAATAATAGTTTATCATATTCGTCAGTAAATTCCAAAGGTACTCTGTTTGCTCCAATATCTACCTCATCCTTTACAACTTTTTTCTGCATGTCTTCTAAATAAAGCTCTTGGAATGTAACCAAAGAATCAATACATAAAATATCATCCGATAACGAACTATCAGTTCTGTTAATTTCTCTTCGGAGAATAGGGTAGTCAAAATTGTTTCCATTATGTGCAACGAAACAAATTGGTTTGGGATTGTGCTTCAAAAAGTTGTTTATCGAGGACACGCTGTCTTTCGTGAAGTTGGAAAGATGTTCCAAAAGGTGGTTGCTCAATCCTAAAATGATTGAAAAGTATTTTGATCAATATTTATTATTATTGATATATGTATATAATAATAATATATTACAGAATATGATACCAAATAGACTGAGTTGGATAAGTAAGTTTGATAAAAAATGAAGAATATGATAAATAAGTAATGGCCAATCACATAATAATTAGTCCATGGCATCGAATTCACAATTTGAATATAGTAATTAATCCTACAACTGAATATGTTAGCTGTTCCAATATATCACTAAAGTCAATTAAATTGTGTTGAATTTTGTATAAGAATATGGGAGATGCACCAACCCTCCTTGTTTCTAAAAAGGTAAAATCTAGACGTAGACTATCACATAGTTCATTGTTATTGATACCCCTTCGAGGATAGATACCATCAATTTTGAAAAGCACATACTTTGAAAATTTACGCAGCATTTTCTCTGCAGCTTGAACATGAACTTCATAAAATGGAGACCATATTATACTCGCATATTCAAGTTTTGTTCATACATATCAATTGTACAGCCGTTCAATGGCCCTTATATTGGCCAAATACGAGTTTCTATAGGCCGAAATCTTGTGAATGATGAAAATTCGTGTTGAAATGAATAATATTAAAAAATCGGTAGCAGATTATGAGAAATGAGAATATTCCGAAAATAAGCAGAAATAGTTATAGCTTCAGTTATGGTCATATTTTTCAGATGCAACAATTAGTGAATCAACGCTCTGAGGTCAGTGAATATTCTCATTCATTAAAGCATGTGTCTAGGCCCATTAATTTTATATAGATACTCAATAATGTTTTCCTCGTATAAGTTATATAACTTATTAACACCAATAACACGTATTGTTATTCAGACATAGATGATATTGTAGCACCACAAATCCACATGATTCAGTTGATTTTGAAGGTTGTGACAATCGCCGTTGTTTACAGTCAATGGAAATAATTTCAAATTGTTGAATTTGTAAAATTATCATCCTGTATATGTTGATCTAGTGTGCCATTCATTCTATTGATATTAGTTCAGTTGTCTGTCGTTAATAAAAAAAAAATATTGTCAATCAAATTCGAATCTTCTTATAAAGTAGATTTCCTTGCTCCCATTGGAATTATAGTTTCTACCACATAGCTCAACAGGTTACGGGCCCAGACTACGCATAAAGTAGTGCCAGGAGATTTGAAAGGCAGCAATATTTTCCAAAAGAGAAGAAGAGTTTCGAAAAGAAAGAGGATGGAAAGAAGTTCCAGTGCAAAAAGTGCAAAGAAAAACACAAGTATGGAGAATGTCCTGCTTTTGGCCAAAAGTGTTACAAGTGTGGCAAAGAGAATCACTTCAGCAGTGCCTATCTCATGAAAGGAGTTGAGGAAATAAATCACCAGCAAACACAAGAAGATGAGGATTCAGATTTCTTTGTTGACAGTGTGGTGACCATTGGAGAGCTGACGAATGAAAATCATTCAATTTGGTCAGAAGTTATACAAGTAAACAAGAGGAAGGTGGAATTCAAAATCAATACAGGATCGGAAGTGAATATATTACCAAAGTCAGTATTTGAGGGAGTTAATATTGATGATAAGTATAAATTTCAGAAAACTAGAGTAGTTCTAGAATCATATGGAGGAGGAAAAATTCATACCTTAGGAAAAATAAGTTTTCCATGTAAAATAGGAGATAAGTATTTAGATATAGAATTTCTAGTCGTAGATGTCAGATTGAGGCCAATTATAGGTTTACCAACTTGCTACCAGTTAGGTTTGATAACAAAAAATGATTCTATCGGTATAAATGACAAAGAGACATTTGTCAAAACGAATAGTGATATTTTTGAGGGCCTAGGTACGTTTATAGATATTTGCAAAATCAGATTGAAGAAAGATAGCATTCCGGTTGCAAGACCAGCCAGAAGGCTGCCCCTTGTAATAAAAGATAGACTTGAAGAAAAGTTAAACAGTCTAGAGAAGCAGAAAATTATTGTGAAAGTTGAAGGAGCTAGTGATTGGGTGAATAGTTTGGTTGTTGTGGAAAAGCCGAATAAAACGTTACGTTTGTGTTTAGATCCGCAGGAGCTTAATAAATGTATAGAAAGAGAGTTTTTCGAAATCCCTAGCATTGAAAACATAACTGCCAAGCTAGCTTCTAGACAATATTTTTCTGTCTTCGACTTCAAAGATGGATTCTACCAAGTGAAACTGGATGATGAATCTAGTAAACTCACAACTTTTTCCACGCCCTTCGGGTGTTACAGATTTTTAAAAATGCCGTTTGGTATCAGTTTGGCTCCAGAGTATTTTCAGAGAGTAAATGAAAAAAATTTTGGTGACATAGAAAATGTGATAATTTATTTCGATGACTTGTTAATTGCTGCAAATACGCTGGAGGAACATGATCAAACTGTGAAGAAATTGGTCCATAGGGCTAGAGAAAAGGGTGTGAAGTTCAATAAAAATAAGTTACAATTTAGATGTACAGAGGTTAAATATCTTGGCCACATTTTTGATAAAAATGGTATGAGAATAGATGATGAGAAAGTGAGAGCTATAATTGAGCTTAAAGCTCCTAGTAGTAAGAAAGAATTACGAAAATTATTAGGACTGGTGAATTATTTGCGCGATTTGTGCGATTTATTAAAGAAAGACATTGTATTTCAGTGGTTAGGTGTACATGCAAGAGCTCTAGATACTATTGAAAACGAAATAAATAGAAATACAACTCTGAAGAATTTCGATTCTTCAAAAGAAATCGTGATACAGACTGATGCTTCTCAAAATGGTATTGGGTGTTGCCTAATGCAAGAGGGTAGGCCAGTAGCGTACGCCTCCAGGGGTCTGACTGATACTGAAAAGCGTTATGCCATTATTGAGAAAGAACTGTTATGTATTGTATATGCCACCCAGAAATTCCATAATTTTATATATGGTAGAAATATTGAAATTTTGACAGATCACAAACCTAACGTAAGTATACTTTCCAAGCAGATTTCTGAAATCCACTCACCTAGGCTTCAGCGGTTGAAAATGAAATTAGTAAAATATAATTTGAGAATTGAATACGTACCCCGGAAATATTTGTATATAGCTGACTGTTTATCAAGAAATTCCCAGTAAACACAAACATCCCTGGGATGTCACATTCATGCCTCGTTAGGTAACAATGCGAGTCACAACAAAACATCATTGGTATTACCAGGAGACTCTTTATATCACAAAACATTCGCAATATTCCTCACATTTTATCAAATTTGAGACCTGAAATGTTGGTGAATTTATGAGTCTCCCTAACAACCAAGAGACTCACTGAAACCTCACATCCTTGTCTATTTATGTAACGAACGGAATAAATCAATTTTGATGTTGAATGAGGAGTCGCATAATACGTACTGTGATTTTCATTTGGCATCATAATGTGAATCATAAAATGACCAAAAGGGTCCGAAATAGCAGTCATTGTGATTTCACTAGGCCTCTCATTTCGAGTCACAGATGTGATGTGTGGCATGAATGTGATGCCCTCTTACATCTCTGGGATCAATCTGTGTTAACTGGGTTATTGTAGTGAAATACCTGATATAGATGAAAACATGAGTGAGATGGTTCACTCTGTAGAAGTAGAAAAGCATCTTAGAATGAGTGAAACAAGAAAGAAAGAGTTCCAAAAGTTAACTGTAGAAGACGAGATTTTGAGAAATGTTATAGATTGTTGTCAGAATGGGTGGAAGAGAAAATCATATACAGGGGAAAAGAAAATTTTTCACTATTTACAAAATGATCTTCATGTCAATAACAATTTAGTTTTTTATAAGGACCGTATTGTGGTACCCAGAGGTCAACGATGTTGGAATTGTTGCATGAAGGACACTTTGGAATAACTAGAACACGGGATAGGGCACGTAATATTCTGTTTTGGCCAGGAATGTCTGATGAAATTGGTAAATTAATCAATTTCTGCGTTATCTGTGAGAAATACAGATATGCAAATATTAAGGAACCTTTAAAATCTCATGAGCTACCAGCTTTGCCGTTTCAAAAAGTAGCTTCAGACATTCTTGAATTCCAAGGAAAAAATTATCTAATAATTGTAGACTACCTTTCGAAGTGGTTAGAGGTTTTGCCGTTAAAAACGAAACAAAGTTCTGATATTATTCAATCATTTAAACAAGTCTTTGCAAATTTTGGTATACCAGATATTGTAATTTCCGATAACATGCCATATTCTTCTTATGAATGTAGAGAGTTTGCGAAAGAATTTGATTTTGAATTCAGATACAGTAGTCCGCGTTACCCCAGATCAAATGGGCTTGCTGAACGTTCTGTTCAAACAGCCAAAAATATGTTGAGGAAATCGAAAGATCTCAATATTGCACTTATGGAATACCGCAATACTCTGTTAACTGCTCTGAAAAGATCACCAGCAGAACTTTTATTCGGTAGAAAGCTTAAAACTAAACTGCCTCTTTTAGAGTTGAGAACCCAGAAACTGAAGCATTTAAAGAAGTTAGAGAAAAAAAATAGAGTTTCGAAATTGTATTACGATAGACATGTAAAAGAGAGACCTGACTTTCAAGAGGGGGAACATGTTGTGTATAGAAAAGATAAGTTGTGGGTTCCAGCTACAATTGTTTCTAAATATGATCAAGCTCCCCGTTCATATCTTATTCAGACTGGTTCAAACATTTTGGGAAGAAATAGTTCTGATTTGAGGAAGTCTTCAAGCAAGGATTTTTCTGATAATCATGAAGGTTCTAATGAGTCTATAATATTGCCAGATACATCAAGTTCGAATCATTCTAGTTCTAGTGTTAGTGGTTCATCACCATCAACAGCTAATGTTGATAAAGAACCTGAAACGAGTTTGAACACTAATACTCACAATCATGTACAGTTTAGGAATTGCAACAACAATGAAAATATGAGAGGTAGGCCACCTAGAGCTAGTAAGATGCCTTCCAGGTTTATTGAGTTTGATATGAGTTAATTTTGTATAACTTTGTCTTATAAGGGGGAGATGTTATGATATCATGTGTTGTTGTTATCACCCTGTTTATATTTTATAATATCATCCTTTTACCATTGCTTGTCAATCTAATGCCAAAGTTGTTAAACAATTAGAATGTCAGTAAAACATATAATAAGGATGTTCATGTTCAACTGACTCCTTATTCTCTATATCAATACAACAAGTAGGGAGGTAGGGAGGTAAGTACAAAAAAAAATTTTCGAAAAAAAAAACAAGAAAAAAACCATCACATGATAAGTGCAGTTTCACGGAATTTTCTATTCAGCAGTTCAATTTTCATTGGTAAATTAAGGCTACTATGGTAGTGTTGAAATTTAAAACCTATCTCAACTGAATTCTTAAGAACTAAGTGGGCAGATATTCACCTGTAATTTTTTCAGAATCTGAAGAGATTAGTTTGCAAGGATTGAAACATAAACTAAGTTTATTCTGGACCCTTGGAAATACTCCCAATCGAATATGACTTGCCTGTACTGCTATCAAACAAAGTTCTGTTATTTTTGTCTTATTATTTTCCAGAGATGGTAATCCCGTTGTTTCAGTGTCTACAAAAACAAATGTCCGTATTTCACTCTGTAAGCTCATGTTTCGGATGTAATAACTTCCTAGAATGGGTATTCTGCTTGAAAGATAGCATACAGGAGACCAGCAAATGTACATTACTTGACTGAAACTTATTCTTGGATTTTCTTCATATCTTTGACTTCAATGTTGTCGAATGCAAGGTGAGGTTTTTAGGGAACAATCATCTCCTTTCCAAGTAGTCCATTGAGCATTTTTAGCAATGATAATGATGGGAAAAAGTAAAAACTGAGATCAAAAAACAATAACAATAAACAGTAATCAGTACCTTAACCAGTGTTGCCAACCAATGGTTACAAGAGGAATACAATAAAATGTACTAAATTGTGACGTGATATTGTAATAGATGACAGTAAATACTAGTAAATAATAGGCCTGTTCGTTTGTATTGCTAAACTGGCTAAAGTTGATCTATTTCCCATAGTTGTCTCTGTTCATGCCATGATATAAACAAAGAAAGTCATAGAAAAAAATCAAGTTGTGCAGGTTGAGCAGGCACAAACGAACAGGCCTAATAAGGGCGTGTTTTTCATTCCATCGAAGAAAGTGCGCATTGATATTGATAGATGCGGTTTTTTGTCGTGACTTCACCAATTGTTCTGATGGAATTTATGCTGGAACGATGGAAGAATGGATTATACAACACATTGATGGAAAAAAGGATTTCGTTGTGTGTCAGTCGTTATGTATCTTCAGAATTAGAAGAGGATGATACCATTTTATTGATTAGGACTTATTTCTCCATCTTCTTAAATCTCTCAACAATCTCAAAATTCAAAAATTCCTTTATATTTTCAATTAAAAACGAGAAACAATACGTAAAATGTGTTAATTGTCATGTCAGTCTCCTCCAAACCGCTGGATTCCCGCAAAGCGATTTGAAAGTGCGCATTTTATTACAACAGTTTGATGGATTTCCAACAACATTCCAGCGGAATTTTGCAACACTACGATGGATTCTTCGATTCATGCGCATGACAAAATGTTGGAATGAAAAACACACCCTAATAGATTGAAAAATGAGGAAATTGAAAAATATATATTTATGCGCATGCGCTTGAAACATCTCATCTCCACTATTTTCAGTAGCAAAGTGGTTAATGATCACGCATCAGGTTAAATTTCCATGAATCCACTAAAACCACCGAAAAAAATCACTAACTATTTTACTAGATCGCTAATGCCATAAGATCAAATCTTTGCTCATTCATTCATGAGATCGACCTTGGTTCCATATAGAGCGTGCGCATTATGGGCCTGTCATTTTATCTTACTCACTCTTACTTATGTTTGCGAATACCATATCACAGTTTATTGCTTACCATGACTCGACATATCAGAAACGACAGTTTGGGAATTCCTGCGCATTGAACAGGAACGTTTCTAGGCGAGGAATTTAAACAAGATTTTCGGTTTGCTGGGATATGACTTATAGCGGTCTAGTAATTATGTCAGTTGTGCTTGTGACATCAGAAGCCCAAGCCCTCTTATCCGCTCCGTCGGCCGTCATCTGCGCTACATCATTGGCGATTGGCGGTAGTCATGAAAACTACGGGAAAACATTCCTAACTCCTAGCTTATAGATTGTTGGAGTTAGACATGTTTTCACGTAGTTTTTATACTCTAGTTTTTATGTCATCGCAACATCAGACGTCAGATGATGACCTTGGCTACCGCGAATTCAATCCGTTCTTATAAGCTGTTCTTCTTTTTAGCGAGTTGAATCGAATGGTACTATATTCGCTATTAATTTCAAATAGTAGTAACGACGTAATGAAGAGTGCTAGAATGTTTTAGATCTATTACTATTGTAATGGCAATCGAAATCCTGTTACAAAAATACAAATGTCGCTATACGTCACCACCTTGTCACCGCAAAAATTCCGCCACGCCCCGCTTCATTATTCCGAATTCAACTGACAGTACCTACTGATTCTGCTGATTTTTCATTTCTAATTAAGTTTTTAAAAAATCACTGAATGTAACAGATACTCGTGAGCACAATGCATACATACTATTCATTCGAAATATTTCGACAACATTCTGCTGAAATTGCTGACTATCGAAAAGTAGTTGCTTCAGTGATTATTTTGGAGGGGGAAAAGAATGTTAAATTCATTTCAGTTGGTTTTTAAAATATTGAGTCTTGTCTCATCATAAGGTATATACCATATACGTGGGACTCTAGTTCAGTGGATCAACTCTGCTGAATATCAGTGTTCCGAAATATAAAAACAAAAATACTGTGCTGTAATTCGGAAAACGATTTCAAGATTTTCTTTAGTAATCATCAGCAGTTGGTCAGCTAGTGAAATTTAAATATCATTATCAGCATCAATTATTTCAATAACATGCATTTTCTGATATCAAAAAAGATATTATTGATTTAATATTGATGAGACGAGACTCAATGTTTAAAAAAAAAACAGCAATGAATGTGACATATTCGTTCCCTCTCTAAAATAATGACAGTTCAATGAAGTTACCCTACTTTTTGATAGTCATCCAATTCAGCAGAATGTTGAGTCGAAATATTTGGCATAAAAAGTATGTCTGCTCACAATTATTTGTCACTTTCAGTGAATTCTTTCGATTTTAAATTGAAAATCGGCAGCTTCAGTACTGTCAGTTAAATTCGGAATATCCAAAAAATCCATGTCCATGAACTATATAAACCTTGTATGCTTGTATGAACCATGATCACGGAGCCAACATTCGCGAAATAAAGCGCACTGTCTATATTAAATATGCTGTGCCCTAAATGACAAATTCAATGATACGGTCAGTACTGTCAGTAAATCCACTGGCTCTGCTGAAAATCTGTGTTCCAAATATAAAATCAAAAATACAGTCCTGAACTCGGAACACGTTTTCATGGTTTTCATCAGTAATTTGCAGCAGTTGTTCAGCTGGTGAAACTAGAATATTATTCTAAGGTCAATTATTTTAATAACAGGCATTTCAATGTATTATTTATGTATTATTGATTCAACAAGACTGAATGTTCAAAAAATAAAGATATTCCTTCCTTCTCAAAAATAATAACAGTTCACTGAAGCCACACTACCTTTTGATAGTCAGCAATTTCAGCAGAAAGTTGGGCCGAAATATTTGAGATGAATAGAATATCTACTGAGTATCTGTAACTTCCAGTGATTTTTTTTACTTCGGAATGGAAAATCAGCAGATTCATTACTGTCAGTTGTATTCAGAGGCGTTTTTCATTCACATCCAACACGGGTGAGGTTGGTAATCCCATTTCATTGTGTTTTCCCATGACGTCATTTCCGTTTGGTTTAACCTCTCCTATCTGCCCCAGAGGGATATTTCATTCACATTCCCCGTTAAACCCGGTTAGAGTAGGGTCCCTTGATGGAAATTGACGTTAAAGTCACCTCAACAGGGTACGGACAGATCATAGCTGCATTTTTTTTTAATGATCTAGAGACTTCAGTTTTGTCTACTGGCATCCCTGACATTACTGTCACGTCACGTTCATGGGCGCTACAGTTATCTCTGTATAGGGTATTTACTTGTTGAAGATCATATGGCGAACGAGTTTTGTAATTATGATCCGATTCTATTCATCTATTCATAATTGGAAGGTATCTGGAGTTTTCCGGAAAATTCAAGATGACGGATCCAATATACAGGCTGATTGACGGTGGATGGCACATTTTAGACGTTTCTGGAGAACGCAACTCAGGATTATTCTGAAAAGTTGGTGCCTTGAATAATTAGTTGTGTTCTGAAATCTCATTCTCAGCGCTGCCACCGTAAATCAGCCTGTATAGCGAAGGAAATTTCTAATTATGATCCGATCGATTGATATCTGAGGATTTTCGGGGTCGAACTTTATGATTTTTTGTCAAAATTAAGAAATTCAAGATAGCGGATCCAATATGGCGAACGAATTTTGTAATTATGATCCGATTCTAGTCAAAAATCAAAATTGGTATCTGAGAATTTCCGAGGTTGGAGATTATAATTAATTCATCAAAATTGGGATATTCAAAATGGTGGATCCTTTATGGTGGACGAGTTTTGTAATGAAGATTCAATTCTATTCAAAATTGGTATCTGGGGGTTTAGGAGATAATGATTGTTTCGTCAAAATTGGAAAATTCAAAATGACGGATCCGATATGGCGAAAGTAATGGCAGAGTATGTTTGTAGCCTGAGCAGATAATAAATTTATATACAATTTTTATTATTCAGGAAACTGACTTTTATTAAAGTTTGTATAACAAAAAATCATTAATCACAATGACAAGTACAACATTGATTAAATACAATATCATAATACATAATACAGGGTGGAGTAATGTTCCATAACACAGTTTCCAACAGAAAGAAAGAAGTTTATATAATCATTACTCTACCACAAATAGAAAATATGTAGGAGGCAAAAGTGAAAATAACGTGACTATAAGTTATTCTGTGTATACCTACTTCTTTGTTACTTTCATCAATCAATTGTTCAAAAATGACTTCTTATTCAAGGGAGACGGAAAAATTATATGCATAACATATTAGGGGTAAAGTATATTCTATTCTTTATTTCCCTGCATCATTTCACGTATTACTTTTTATCAGCCTACTTTTCGTCCTAGATGAAGTTTTATACATATTGTGATATTAGTCACTCCATAAATTCTTCTCCGAGTTGGATTTCCGAAAATATATTTAGCACACATGACATGAGTACAGTAGTTTAGGTATCCACCATTTCTCAATCATAAGGCTCAGCTCATTCAGCTCATAGATAAACTACTGTTCAGCTTGAATCAGAATTCATTCAGTCAATTCAGTCAACCCTATAGTATACAGTCTAGGACAGTCTCTTTTAGTGAGATATATTAAGCTTCCAGTACAATTTATATGTTCCCTACCTCGCAAAGATTATGCTGGAGTAGTAAACTCTAAATCTAGAGGACTGTTCATCTATATCTTGGTATGGTTGAATCAGGAATTTCATATGGAAATTACGTATGATACGCTAGTGACCTGAATATAACATAAAAAAACAACGATGGAAGTATGCTTTCTAAGGAAGTATGGGTTGCGTGCAAGAACTGTCAGATGACCGACACTGGAGGCAAAACATTGGAACACAACGTCACTTTTCTTATTTGTTTACAAGTGATTGAAATAGTTTTCCACAATTATTTTGGCATATGAATCGTATTTTTCCGCTATTCATCAATTTGCTCATGCCATCACATTGTGCTGTTGTAAAATGCACAAAAACTGCAGCGGAAGATGAA